TAAGCTATCAATTGTTATACTGACATGCAGGTTTGAAAAACCTGTTTAAAATACTGAATTGCCAAGACAGGAACAATGTAAAAACACTTAGATATATATCATAACAATTAAGGCTGGTAAGTTGCTGTAGTAACTGGAGCACCTAGGTTAAAAATGAAATGTAATTTATTTTGAATTTGGAACAAATAAAGAGTTAAAAAAAAAAAAAAAAAAAAAAAAAAAAAAACAGAAAATGACAGAAGACAAAATTCTAAGAATGCTCCATGGATCACCAGGAGCTAAAAGGATTTCAAAACAAGTCTAAAAGGATGAGAAGCTGTTGCATGCCACGAAACAATTCAAAAACACACACATTGAAGATTAAAGGGCGAACACGAAATTATTGCGGCACCGAAAATGTCATGCCAATTTTCTTATAATGTTTAGAATCAAACCAAAATTTTAGGGTATTTTTATACATATATTTACTTCAAAAATCAAAAGAAAAGATAATCGATGGAGCCTTGAGTGTAAAATTGAACGCATTTTCGTTTGATGCCCTCCATCAAAGTCTTTACAGTGTCATCCGGTACCAGTTTCTCAGTTTTTTTTTCCATTTTCTTAACATGTCCTTCTCGTCTTTGACTGTCTTCTTGCTCTTCCGAAGTTCCCGCTTCATTATTGCCCAGTACTACTCCACCGGGCGCAGCTCCGGACAGTTTGGCGGATTCATGTCCTTTGGAACAAAATGGACAGAATTGGCCTCATACCACTCCAGGACACTTTTAGAATAGTGGCATGATGCCAAATCTGGCCAAAATAGCGGAGCTTCGTCGTGCTGCTGCAAGAACGGCAAAAGGCGCTTCTCGAGGCACTCAGATTTGTAGATCTCGCCATTTATTGTGCCCTTTGTCACGAAAGGCTCACTCCTCAGTCCGCAAGAGCAGATGGCCTGCCAAATGAGATATTTGGAGGCGAACTTCGACATTTTCTTCTTCTTAAACTTGTTGTCCACATCGAACTTGCTCTTGCCGGTGAAAAACTCCAACCCCGGAATTTGCTTAAAATCGACTTTTATATACGTTTCGTCGTCCATCACACAGCAGCCATATTTTGTCAGCATCTTCTCGTAGAGCTTCCGTGCCCGAGTTTTAGCCGTCGATTTTTGCCGCTCATCGCGGTTTGGGAAGTTCTGTACCTTGTATGTATGTAGTCCAGCTCTCTTCTTTGCATTCTGGACGTAAAGCTTGCTTCATTTAGAATTGGAACAAACTTTTGCTCATATTGTGGTGCTCCTGGTGGACGGATTTGGAAATTCTTGGCGCCCACGTGTCGGGAATTTTGTCAGCTTCACGTATGTATTTTTGACATTCCGCAAATCGACTGTACTTTGTAAACAATCAACATGGAAGCCGAAAGAAGGGAAAAATTGTCCACAGTTATTTGGAAAATCCATTGTGGTCTGCATCTAGGCTAGCTAAACAGCTGAAATTGCCCAGAAATACCGTATGGCGCGTTATCAAACGGTATAAGGAAACATTGACGACGATTCGGAAGCCTCAAGCCAATCGTCGGAGTGGAACTGTCGACCGGAAACTGCGTGGTAAGATTTTGAAGACGATTAAGAGAAATCCCAATCTGCCGGACCGTGATTTGGCCAGAAATTTCGGTGCTGCCCATAGTACCGTGAGGAGAACTCGACTCCAGGAAGGAATCAAGTCGTATCGAGCTAGCAAACAGCCAAATCGGACCATAAAACAGAATAGTGTGGCCAAAATCCGTGCGCGGAAGCTATACGACCAGGTGCTAACCAAGTTCGACGGGTGTCTTCTGATGGACGATGAAACCTATGTCAAGGCTGACTTCGGGCAAATCCCAGTCAAAAATTGTACTTGGCAATGGCTCGGGGGGATGTTCCAGCCAAATTTAAATTTGTTTTTGCCGACAAATTTGCACGAAAATTTATGATTTGGCAGGGCATTTGCAGCTGTGCACTCAAAAAATTTCACACGTTTGATCAAAGTGTTTAAACATTTGATTTTTTAAATGCAGAATCACATTTACTTTAAGTGTATTTCACCTTGGTTCAATGTGTTATACACGTTAATTTATAGTGTTTCAAACTTTGAAATGTTGAAATTTTTTCACTATCTATTCAAGTGTATTGCACATTGAATCACGCTACTGTTCAAAACAGATGGATTTAAAGTGTTTTGCATTTCAATACGATGTGAATTGCTTGCTCAGAAAGGTAAACATCGATAACAAGAGTCGCGACTTTATCCTATCAACCTGCCTCATATATGAGAACAACCGTGGCACAGTGAGATCGAACGAAGACTCTGGCAGCAGCACACCCCAACAGTTCATGATCGAATCCAAAATCAGACCCATTAAAAAGATATGTGAAAGCTCTGGCCTCTGGCAGTTTTGTTTTATATATTTGTCGATTCATTTTTAGAGTCGGTAAAGTAGAAGTCGATAAAGTAGAATATTGTAGAATATTGAACTATGGTGTGCAAAGCTATTGATATCACCATATGAGGCACATAGAATCCAAGTGTGTCACAATTCAAATCCATAGTGTTCAGGCATGGTTCATAGCATAAGATTCACACATGAAATGGATGTGTTTCACAATAAGCGCAAAATTAAGTGTGAGACACATGATGATGGCGTGTGGAATTTTTTGAGTGTGGCAAAAAAACGAAAGTTTTCGTTACAAATAAGACAATGACGTCGGAACTATACCAAAAAGAGTGTCTTCAAAAACGAATTTTGCCGTTCATTCGATCCCACGACCATCCCGTAATGTTTTGGCCAGATTTGGCAAGCTGTCATTACAGCAAAGTCGTTCAAGAATGGTATGCAGAGAAAGGGGTCCAGTTTGTTCCGAAAAACCTTAACCCACCCAACTGCCCCCAGTTCCGCCCTATTGAGAAATACTGGGCAATCATGAAGAGGAGACTCAAGGCAAAGGGAAAGGTTGTCAAAGACATCAATCAGATGAAGACCTGGTGGAATAAAATAGCTAAAGCGATGGACGAAGAAGGTGTGCGCCGCCTAATGAGCCGTGTTACAGGAAAAATTCGAGAATTCCTTCGAAACCGTGCCGAATAATTTTATCCGTATTTTTTCTTAAAAGTATGAAGAAAACGCTACATTTGTATAAAAAAAGATCTTGAATTCAATAATAAATAACTGAAATACAGGCAATTGTTTTTGTTCCAATTCTATCTGAAGCAAGCTTTAGCTCTGCGACATGCCGATCTTTTTAGCCAAATCACGGCTTGAGACGTTGGGATTTGCTTTAATCATCCACTTCACCTTTCCCTCCGTCTTTTTGTTCTCCGGTCCCGGTTTTCTTCCAGCTCCTTTGCCGTGGTCCAACGTCAACCGCTCCTGGAACCACTTCAACACTCTGGAGACGGTTGAATGGTGAATGTTCAACATTTTTCCCAACTGCCGGTGCGACAGGTCAGGATATTCCAGGTGTTTGGAAAGAATTTGTTCTCTCAACTCGCGTTGGTTCACCTCCATTTTCGTTGAATCGAAAAACACGACTTCAAGTTTGACAGCATGTACACAATACACATCAATGAGAAAGTGTGCAAAATTTGGTTGATTTTTACCCAATGGTGAAAAAGTTATGCCCTGTTGAATGTGTCGCAATAATTTCGTGTTCGCCTTTTATATCACATATATAGCATTAATTCTCAAACAATAATTGAAGCGGTTTGTTTGGTTTGCGATGCATTTGTTTAGAGGTTAAATGCAGATTTTTTTTTTCAGTCGCATAAACAGCGAGAAAGATGGCTAACGTACAATATTCTTTTATGTATCGCAGAAATTTTCTCTAATGTAAAATATTGCTTGATACAAATTCACCCTTTTTTAAATGAACTCATTCTTAAAAATGAAAATATCTAGATGTTAAATTGAGATTTCGACCTTTTGTCGAATAGTGGTGCTAAAGAAATAATAATAGTGGTGCTTATGAAATAATAATAGTGGTGTAACATTGTTTGAAGCATAGTTGAAGATGCCAAGTTTCAAATAACAGTCTTAAAAAGGCTATTTGATACGATAGATGAGGAGATAGAAGTATAGAGTTGATAGCTGCATTAGAGTACGGCAGAGTGAAAATTGTATTTAGAGAGTAAAAAGCGAGCAAGGACAACTTTGAGGAAGGTACAAATTGGGATAATCATCTCTCTTTACCAAACTCCCCAGTTGGAGAGGGTTGGTGAGGGGAACCCCCTGTGATTTCTATATGGGGGTACACTTTGTGAAAACCGAAAATGGAACATGTAACAAAATGTTGAATGATTTTGAACGTTAATAACTTTCCCCTGGACCAATTTCAAAAATTTTATCGCCAATCGATCAGAAATACTTCTATACATCATCTAAATTTAAGACTTTATCATTTTTCAAAATGTCATTATTGAAAATTGCACGAATGTGCAACTGTTGCTATGATAATTAAAATTATCTCCTATTGCCTGCGGAAAGCGTTTTCCCTACCACAGATTTCAAAATTGAATTCCATCCGGTCTCACCAAACGATGTTTATTCTATCACCACGAGGTTAGTGGAGGTGTTCTCCAGTACACAACGAAAGACTGCCTGCAAGCAGTGAGCTGTAGCTGACATGAGCATCCATAGAACGAGGAAGAAGCCGCACCGCTATTGATCGGAGTCAGCAGCTCTTCGTGAGACATTGCGGGCCATCTATGACAAGCGCGTTATACTAAAGAGTATAAACAGTGATAACACCACTCAAATTCATATTCCTAAACAAAACACAAGCTCCTGCTGCAGTTAACAAATAAGATTTATTACATAAGCCCACGTAGTCTTACGTCACCACTACTGCGTACAACCCCATAGGGCGGTACCTTGTTGTTTTTTTTTCTTGAGAATTTGTGAAAGATATATTAATTTAAATTCGATTGTACCCTCCATCCCTGTGCACCGGAAGCCAATATTTTGGCTCACAATTTTATTATCAATCCTACCTTGACTTAAGTTCCGAAGACTTCTCACTGGTTAAGCCGCTATAATCCTCTAATTGATCCAAGTGAAAACTTTTGCTCCTTAGCTTCTGGTTCTCCGTTTTCCTCCACCCACTTGTCGATCAGCTTCCGTTGTCGCCAATGTTGGTTGAGCGCCCCGTTTCCACGCACCGTTGATAAATTCAATTTTCCTCTCCAAGGCACACCGACAGTTTGAAGCACTTTTCATATGCTAATTTTCGTTCAAGCATTTCTTGTGCCTGCCTCCGACTCTTGAAAATTTCTTCTACCCCTTCATTAATTTTTCTTTGAGCGGCTTGTGCTTATATCCACTTTCTCACCAGCACTTGTAACACTACTTATCGCAAAAAAAACAGTGACCAAAATTCAACTCTTATCTCACTAAAGCATGCATGAAATAGAAGAAAAAAAAAACAAAAAAATAATAGTGCCACAATTGTGGAAAACGACAAAAATTTTCACTCGTTTGGTAGTGTGCCAAGAAGACGAAACAATCACTCAACTTTGATCAAAGAGAGGCACAGTGGATACAACAACAAAAAAAACACACACACTAAAAGAGCACACAAACTCCGCGCGCAGCTCTCGTTGACTGTGCGGCGCGTGAAATCAAAGTTTGCTTTTTCCGGCTTTCTTCCAATTTGTGCCTTTGCGGAGATGTTGATGTTTAAAGCTAACCTGCCCACGACCGAAACCGCAAAAACCGAAACGAACGAAATATAATAATAATCGAAGCGATTTTAGTTTCACTCAAATGCCTCTCTTTGGCAACAACAATCAGCTCCACCCCGCTAAATGAAAGAGTGCAGACGGTGGCGGCGGCGGCGAAGAAAAATCCAATCGTTGACTGCTTCGTTGTTGTTTTTTTTTCTACGTCGTGGTGAAATATAGGTTAGCAGCTAACCGATGAAAAGTGATTCACTTTTCATAACTTGAGTGGTGCGTGCAAGGAGATTTAATTTGCTGGCGATTGTGATTTTTTTTGCGAAGGGTGGGTGTTGATGCTTGATTCCGGGCGATGGCTGTTGCTTTTTGGAGAGTGCTTATTTTTTTGCGCGGTTACAAGTTTCCAAAAAATGCAGGATGGTGTCACGGTGGCGATTGGAAGATGACGGATTTCTTGATTGATTAGATTGATGAATGTCGCAAATCCTGGAATTGGAATAGAAAGTATAAATTGCGATTAGAGGTTTATTATGATTTTGTGTAAAATAGTGAAGTTCGCATAAATATTTCATAAAGATTCCCTCCCCTTCTGTTGGCCTCAGATAATTTGTGTACCAAGTAATAATAATTTTGAATAAATTTAAGCCCAGCGGGTCGATCTATTTAGTAATTGATTTCTATGAAACTCCAATCTTCTTTAGAACTGAATATGTTCTATTTATTTTCATAACTTTCCTTAAACATAAACTCATCTTTCATCTTTTGCGCTCTTCAAATGTTATTTCCCAGAATCCAGTCAATGAACCTAAAACTTGGACCACAGTAAATTGCATTACACTTCATACCACATCACCCGTCTTATTGTAAACCAGCAGTGATGGCGATGGCAGCAGCAGTCTGAGTCAAGTTTGCACATTTACACCTACGCTTGAAGTTGAAATTGCTTTAACTTTGCTGCTGAGTTTTATACAACGTATTCTCCTTTGGCACCAGACCTCTATGTAACGGTGACACAAATTTCAATATGCTAAAATAGAGACCCGTTGCTGTTCGTTCCATTCCATCTCCGATTGCAGTCTCTCTGCACGTGGTTTTATATTCACAACGTGGTGTTAGGTATATCTTCCGTAGTGAAATAAAATAAATTCCATTGGATGGTACATATCCTTCCCGTCACTTGCTTGGAACCTGGATCGGAAGTGTCATAGCCCACGCTTTGCGCGGAGAAGTTATGCAACTTCTGGATGGGTGGGATAGCAGAGCATTATGGTCATTATCCTGCTTCGTGAGTAGAGCCATGCCTGCAGATTATTTATTCCCTTGTGCTTATTTTTATTGTGCCATTTTTATTTACTCTTAAGCACCGAAGGCACAGGCAAGAGAAAGAGACTTGACATTAACTGCAGCTTGATAGTGAAGCTGCAGTTCATTGGATCGCTGCAAGTTGCGCAAATACGATGCCAGTGAAAAAAAGCATCTAGTCGTAGCTAAAGCTAGGTAACTCATCCAACCATCAAGCGAGCGACCAGCAGCTAGTCGACTTGTTCGACTAACCGGGCGTGAAGCCCTATAGGCACGCTGGTGATGCTTTTAATGAGTACCTCCAGTTGGGAAGCACTTTTACTAGGCTGTTCACATTTATATAAAAGAAATAGAAAGAGGAAAATGTAATATAATTACTTTCACGCTACTCTTGGTACTGGCCGCTTGTCTCGTTGGAACAGTGTACGCTGTGGGCTGTAATGATGTGTTTGATCAGATTCTATGTCTGGGTCTATGGACTACGGACAATCCTAGAAGTTTTAATGTTGGTTTACACTTGACAATGTGCAATTGAACTATTTTTTTTTTCAATTTCGAGTTCTTAAAATGTTCTAAGGGTTTGATATATAAATGACAACGTTACGAAAAAAATCTAATATTAAATTTTATTAATGGAAATATCCGAGAAAAAAATCTGTGTTGCGACTCAAATGCTTCAGGTCAGAAATCATTTTCTTGTAAGTTCCAGAATATGAAATAAATTTCTAAGTCATACAACGATTGATTTTCCACGATTTTTTTATATTATGCATTTTGCATTAGTTTTCTCAGTTTGGGGTCTGGAAAGAAAGTTCAAGACTGGGATCTCCAAATTCCAAGTTTCCAAGGATCTTGCAATTTTCTCAAAGTCAAGTTTCTTAAAAATTTTGAATTTGCACAAACTTGTAAACATTATTGCAAGTTGCAGGTTTTTGAATTTTTCCAGACCCAAGATCGTTGAAGGTCCAGAATTGGAAAATCATTTCAATCTTGGGAAAACACAATTTTTACTAAGACTGGAACCTCATATTAAGATTTTTGTTGTTGTGTTCTATATTACTCAAATTTAAATACAGGGTTAGCCACTCGAAGTGTTACCAATTCAAACGACAATAAATTTTTTTTCAGTGAAATATTTTTTATTGATTCCAATGGCAAAAATGTTTGTAAATAATTAAAATTTCAGAATCCATCCACTTTAGCTCGATGTGGCCACCTTTTGCCTTGAAAATGGCCTTCAAACGGTCAAAAACGAGTTGCATGCTGCACGAATGTGAGCTTGTGGTATTTTGGCCCACTCACATTCAATCACTTTCTTTAGCACATCTGGCACTGGCATATTTTTTAGTCCGCACCTTGCTCTCTAAAATTGACCAAATGGAAAAGTTCATCGGATTTGCGTCTGGCGAATTCGAAAGCCATTGTGGCGACGAAATGAAGCGTGGAATATGATTTTTTAACAATTCTTGGTTAATTTTCGCTTTATGTGACTGTGCCGAGTCTTGTTGGAACGTCCATGCTTTGCGACCGAAGTGTTTGCGTACCCACGACTCTAAATCAGCTTCTAAAATATTTTCACGATAATAAGTCGCATTTACATTAACACTAGGCTCGATGAAAACGATTGGAGAGCGGTCATCAGAGGTCACGGCTGCCCACGCCATCACTTACGATGGGAAATTACTTCGGGTGACCATTCGTTGGCTTAAATTCTCGTACGTGCGTTCGGTCAGGTAAACATGATCATTTTGAGAGTTTATGAACTGCTCAATAGGGAAATTTTTCTCATCAGAGAACACAAAGTTCGGAATTTCGCCACGTTCGTGCAAGCGCACCAATTCCTTTGCTCTTTCGATCACGAATAACTTTTTTTCTAAAAGACAGAGAAAAAAAATACTTTTGTACGCTTGTAAACAATGGAATGAACTGTCATTGGTATAAATTTGAGCGCGCTGTCATTAATAGTGTGGTAGTTATAGCAGTTTGAATCTGGTAACACTTCGAGTGGGTAACCCTGTAGTATGATCGTGTAAGAAACGCACAAAATTTGTCATGCTCTAAATTTTCATCATTTTTTTTTCTTTGATTTGTTTTCCGTCAATATTGTTTTCTGTACTGAGCTACAAACGCCAGAGAGGCAGCTCCCACACCTGGACCCTACCTATCGACCCATCAACTCATGGACCGGGGACCAACGGCTTTACTTCCCTTCCGCCGACAGGGATTGAACCCAGGCCTGTTGAGAAGAGAGGCAATCATGCTAACCACTACACCACCGGTGCCGCAATTTTTTAGGAAACTGATCGCATTTTTTTTTTATAAAATAAATAAATAAAATAAGAGCAAAAATGTGCTGCTTAATGAGTGGCAAATAGTTGTAGAAGACAACTTTCATGTGGAATTTGATATAAATGATTAAAACACAATTTTTCTGAGGGACTCTCTATCTAGAAAAAAAAACTGCTGTAGAAAAATAAACATAACCTAACCAATATGATTTACGGAACATTAGGTTCGAGGTTCTAAAAAGCAATTTCTTTCAAGCTAATTCGATAGATCTAGTTATGAATCTTGCAACATCGTTCTACAGTATGCTGAAACGACGGACCCTTCGTTTTCTAGGGGCTCGAACAGTTTAAAAAACTACAATGGACAGCCCTGCGGGGTTGAACGCAATAGTGACGTAGGACTACTTGGTATTATGTAATAAATCTTATTTGTTAACTGCAGCAGGAGCTTGTGTGTTGTTTAGGAGGAATTTGAGCGGGGTTTTATCTGTTTATACTCTTTTGTATGACGCGCTTGACATAGATGGCCCACAGCGACTCACGAAGAGCTACTGATTCCGATCAATAACGGTGCGGCTACTTTCTATGGATGCTCATGTGGGCTGCAGCTGGCTCCTTGCCTTTCGTTGTGTACTGGACAACACCACCACTCACCACAAGCGGTTATTGAATGAACACCGTACGGTGAGACCGGATGGAATTCAATTTTGAAATCTGTGTTAGGGAAAGCACTTTTCGCAGGCAATCGGTGATAATTTTAAGTATCGTTCAATTTTCAATAGACATTTTGAAAAGTGATAAAGTCTTAATTTTAACAGATTCGTAGAAAAATTTACTATCGCTTGGCGTATTAAGAATTAAAATCCATCATCTCTGGATCAAAATCAGACCACTTTCATGCCGCGACCGACTTTGATTTTTGAAATTGCCTTTAATAAGGTATTTTAGATTTATACTTATAGGAACTGACATCCGATTGCTGACCTTGACAAGTCTCGCGTCACTTTTCAAATTGACCAATCTACATTGATCGATTCTCTTTATCGACTGTCTCTTTCGTTGATAACTTGACTGCATTCATATTTCGGGCTAATTTTTCTACATAGTCTATTAAAAAAAAACTATTATCAGACGATAATAATAACTGAACATGTTTTGGCCCAAATTATTAACGAAAGAGAGACTCGATGAAGATAATCGATCAATATAGATTGGCCAATTTGAAAGTTAGGGTGAGAAGTGTCCAGAAAATATTCATTAACAAATTTATGGTGGTCCTGAAAAGGACTGTTTTGTCGTGATGGTTGCGTAATGCTGAGCTATTAGGGTGTTCAACACAGACAAGGCTTGCGAGCTGTATGTTGTTTGCAGTGGTGACGCGCTTGGCATAGATGGCACACAGCGACTCAATAGCGGTGCGGCTTCTTCCTCCTTCTATGGATGCTCATGTGGGCTGCAGATCGCTGCTTGCAGGCAGCCTTTCGTTGTGTACTGGAAAACAATGTTCAACGCCACGCACCGTTTCTGCTGCTGATGCCGACGACCGGACACCACCACACATGGTGATTGGAACTGAATCCGATCAGCGGTTGATGGCAGCCTTGATAGCTAGCTGCTTGAGGGGAGCCTTTCGTTGTGTACTGAAGAACACCACTACTCACCACGCGGTGATTGAATAAACAACCCTTTTGGGGAGACCGGATAGAATTGAACCTTGAAATCTGTGTTAGGGAAATCGCTTTTCGCAGGAATTCGGTGATAATTTTAATTTTCATAGTAACAGTTGCAGATTCGTGCAAGTGATAAAGTTATAAATTTAACAGAAACGTAGAAATATTTCTGAACGACTGGTGATATTTTTTAGATTGGTCCAGGGGCAGCTGAGTTATAACCGTT